CGGGAAAAAGGCAAATATTGATGTGGTTTTATTCTAAAATAACGTCGGTTTGGTAAAATGTTTAAAATTAAGTCACAATAGTCCCTGGGATCGATCTATATGTACCGTAAAAGTGTTCTCACAAACAAATATTTTCGAGTAACAATGGGCCACATGCCATGAACAAATTGAACAAAGCTTGACATACATTGTATATAAAACATTTTATTGGGCTTGAAAAAAAAAAGAAAATTGTCGATGGACAGTTTGAAAATCATGATTAACAAAAGACCTTCGGTACTGAAATCATCGACCTAGCCTGTGTCGTGAATTTATTCTTTCATTTTACATTGTTTAACCATGGAGCCATTGTTTAACCAACATTGTTTATTATAAACTTAGTGAGCAGTCAAACCGTATACCCTGTGTTAAACACTTTTTCCTACAACCATGGAACTACAACCTACCCAATATACGATCAACCTATATAAGAGCCACAGTCTGATTTATCCTGTTTTTCCCAACTTGCAAAGAAAACTGATTCCGTGTACACTCATGTACCTTATTTTTAGTCCCCGTTCGGACGTAGTCCGAAAACGGGGACTTATGTTTTGCCCTGTGTGCGTCCGTCCGTCCGTCCGTGATCACCTGTATCTCGAACATGCATGGACCGATTAAGTTCAAACTTCACTCATACATCACACATTATATGGGACATATGCACATGCATTTTTTTCATGATCCGATTAACGATAGCCGAATAGCGGCCATTTTAAGGCCGAAAATGCATCAAAATCGCACATTTTCACCATTCCGGACCGGATCTCAGTTATGCATGGATGGATTTTGTTCAAATTTGGTACATACATTAAACATAATAGGACCTTGATGCACGTCTTTTTTTTTTTCGGATCAAGTTCGAAATGGCCGACTGGCGGCCATTTTGTTAAAGAATTCAGTTCTGGATCCGTATCCAAGACATGTCTGGATTGATCAAGTTCAAACTTCACACACACATGGTACATCATGTCACAAATAGATATGTGCCTTTGTTTCATGATCTGCTTAACAATAGCGAAATGATAGCCATTTTAAGGCCGAAAATGCATCAAAATCACGTATTTTCACAATTCCAGAACCAGATCTCAGTCATGCATGGATGGATTTTGTTCAGATTTAGCACAATGTGTTTGTACATATGCAGGTGCATTTCGGTCATGATCTGCTTTGAATGTATATGTCACTTAAATATGAACGGAACGGGGACGTGTCATTGACAATGACTTGTTTTTTTTTTTTTCGGATCAAGTTCGAAATGGCCGACTGGCGGCCTTTCTGTTTTAAAGAATTCACTTCTGGATCCGTATCCGAGACATGTCTGTATTGATCAAGTTCAAACTTCACACACACATGGTACATCATGTCACAAATAGATATGTGCCTTTGTTTCATGATCTGCTTAACAATAGCGAAATGATGGCCATTTTAAGGCCGAAAATGCATCAAAATCACGTATTTTCACAATTCCAGAACCGGATCTCAGTCATGCATGGATGGATTTTGTTCAGATTTAGCACAATGTGTTGTACATATGCAGGTGCATTTCGGTCATGATCTGCTTTGAATGTATATGTCACTCAAATATGAACGGAACGGGGACCTGTCATTGACAATGACTTGTTGTACTTAGATCTATGTCCATTTTTAGGATATGACTTCAATAAAGATTATTATTATGTAATATGTGACAAATTGTATTACGTAACTGTCCATCGGATGGGGACTGTGGTCATGGTATACATTTCAATAAACCTTCATTCTTGGAAAATCGAATAGAATTATGGCCGGGTAGCTAAAATGGCTATTCTGAACAAGGTAACACAAATGACAAGGGGAGTTACGCTATAAAAATTGTACGATTTGGGCGAGTGATAATTCTAGTAGGCGAGTAGAGTGTTCAATTACCTTTAGAATGCAAGGTCTGGTATTATTAATAAAGTTTATTTGACACAAAATCACTTTAATTTATGTATCAGTCAATTGGAACCCAGTCCCACCTCCTACTCCTGTGGCCGGTTTATGTGGGGCACAGTGCAAATACCCACAGAACAAGCAAAATAATTCCCCCACACCAGGGGAATGAACCCCCACCCCAAGGAGAAGAGGAGGGATGCACCAATCCCACCAAATTTTACACTGTCTGACATATAGCCCTAGCCTCAGATCCTGGCCTGGCCTGGCCTGGTTTCACCAAGTGTACATCCCTGGACATTTATGTTTGAAAAGCCTCATGTAATTTTACACTGTTCAGACATATCTTGACTGTGGTGTGGGGTCAATTGGCATTAAATTCATATGGTACGTTTTTCTTACTTAACTGCAAACATATGGCTGATATATTTATGTTCCATGTAACCATTTTCAAGTGTTCTAAATAAGTAGATAATATTTGATATTTTTCTTTCAGAAATCAAAGCTGGTAAAATTTTGATTGAAGGAAAAACCAAGATTATCTACGAGCTTGAAAATAATCAAGTGTTGTTGCAGTCCAAAGATAGAATAACTGCTGGAGATGGAGCAAGAGCACACGACTTGAAGGGAAAAGCTGCCATATCAACTTCCACAACATGTAAAATATTTGAACTGCTGAACAATGCAGGTATGGACAAGATAGCTATTGGTCATATCACTAGCTAGTGGTCATATCACTATTGGTCATATCACTAGCTTATTGGTCATATCACTAGCTTATTTGTCATATCACTATTGGTCATATCACTAGCTTATTGGTCATATCACTAGCTTATTGGTCATATCACTAGCTTATTGGTCATATCACTAGCTTATTGGTCATATCACTAGCTTATTGGTCATATCACTAGCTTATTGGTCATATCACTAGCTATTGGTCATATCACTAGCTTATTGGTCATATCACTAGCTTATTGGTCATATCACTAGCTTATTGGTCATATCACTAGCTATTGGTCATATCACTAGCTAGTGGTCATATCACTAGCTTATTGGTCATATCACTAGCTTATTGGTCATATCACTAGCTTATTGGTCATATCACTAGCTTATTGGTCATAATCACTAGCTATTGGTCATATCACTAGCTATTGGTCATAATCACTAGCTTATTGGTCATATCACTATTGGTCATATCACTAGCTTATTGGTCATATCACTATTGGTCATAATCACTAGCTTATTGGTCATATCACTATTGGTCATAATCACTAGCTATTGGTCATAATCACTAGCTTATTGGTCATATCACTATTGGTCATATCACTAGCTTATTGGTCATATCACTATTGGTCATAATCACTAGCTTATTGGTCATATCACTATTGGTCATATCACTAGCTTATTGGTCATATCACTAGCTTATTGGTCATATCACTAGCTAATGGTCATATCACTAGCTAATGGTCATATCACTAGCTATTGGTCATAATCACTAGCTTATTGGTCATATCACTATTGGTCATATCACTAGCTTATTGGTCATATCACTATTGGTCATAATCACTAGCTTATTGGTCATATCACTATTGGTCATAATCACTAGCTATTGGTCATAATCACTAGCTTATTGGTCATATCACTATTGGTCATATCACTAGCTTATTGGTCATATCAC